AATATATTCTAATTTGATTGGAGAATATTTGATTACAACATGTGTGGGGGCGACCGGTGTCTGTGGGTGGGTGGTGATCTACCGGTGTCTCTCTGATTAATTTGGCTTATTGTCGGTATTTTGCAATTACTGGACAATTAATAAGATATTTAAATTTATGTACATGTTTTTGGTGTCGCTCAATTAATAAGAATAATAATAACCCTAGATAATTAACACTGCGTTATTTGGTCCCACGGTAAGCAGAGCTTGTGTTACGAGTACTAGACATCTGATAAACCTAATTAGATTTTTTTTTTGGTTTATTAATAATATACATAGAAAACACCTAGACCGATACAAACAACTATATGATTAATTATGAAATGACATGTTGCATATCAAGTGTTGTATCACCACGGCATCGATAGTAGACAACCTCTGGCTATTCCATATATAAAAACAGTCGTGAAGGAATATTAATTTTTGATAAAATCCTGCTTTAGGAAATCAAATGAAAAGTTGGTCGACTCTTTATAAATATTAGTTTTTATTCCTCTGACCTGAGGAATAAACATGGCCATTTTCATGTTTGTTCCACAGGCGGCACTCAAAGTGGCCTCCACTGACACCGCTTTGTGCTCCATTGTCTAAAGTCGGGCTCAGTTGTTTTTTAAAAGGCTAACCAGAGATTTATGTATGCTAGAAGTGATTGGATCACGATGATTTAGCTATTTACATTATTATATCTTTTTCGAATTTATTAACGTTTTTCGGCTCGAAAGCATACCTTTTCAGTTTAGTATATATAATATAAACCTTCCTCATGAATCACTCTATCTATTAAAAAAAACGCTTTTAAATCCGTTGCGTAGTTTTAAAGATTTAAGCATATATAGAGACGGACAGACAGTGACTGCGACTTTGGTCTATACTAAGTAGTGATAATAAAATAATTAATATAATTATTTGCCCAGACTAGATTAGTAGAATTTGTACAAAATATTTTGCATGGATATCTTTTTCCCACCTGAAATCAGCCGCTAAGCAACTTACTTTGAAAGTGTGTGAGATACTACAGTCTAACATTGCCGATCCCCATGGCAACCCATGTATTGTACGGTGACTATAATGTATATAGACGATGGTTGTCAAATAAATACTGCCATTAGACTGTCATCTCATACTGTCGGTAGTAATCATTGAATTAGTATTTTAGGACTGTAGTTATATATTAATGTCAATATCGAAGTGGTTGCATGATGTTGGGTTACTGGGGCGTCGAACAACCTCCTCGTATGTTCCAGCTATTGGGAGGTCCCCCATCCTCGTGGATACGTCCGCGGGGAACGGTGGCCGAGCAACGGTTTGGTTCTGGTACGCCCTGGGCGGGATGGTAGTAATACAGTCTGCTACCATGTTGGCCTATAGACCGGCAAAGGGAGGCAGCGCAGGCTGGGACAATCAGCCCAGGAGGGGCCCGTCCCGGCATCGACCGGATCGCGATTGATTGCCAGCTCGATCCCGCCACCCTGGCACTATGGCGGCGAGGAGGAATATCGTAGAGTTTTGGTGAGTAGGAGTCTCATTGTGCCCGTCCGTCCAACCCCTGAGACGGGCGGGTCTCCATGATTTTCCCCTCTTTTCCCCCCAAAAAATAGGGGCTACACTACTGCCAGTGTCACGGTTGTTAAGGGAGGAAGAGCCGTGTTAGTAAGGTGTACTGTTGATCTCATTGCTAGCAATATCATATCTGGTTGACATCCACGTAATTCTCCCTGGAAACCATCATGTTAAGTTCCTGGTAGATTTGTCACGATGAGCAAACTGACCTGACCTCATGCCCACTTCGACTCCTTGCACTGTTAAACATTGTATTCATGGGTATGATTGTTTGTATCGGGTTTTTTATTTATTTATTTATAGTTCATTATATTCACTAATTGCCACTTCCAGTATTACTACGCCGGTTCACACTTGTCTGGTTCGGTTCGAGAGCAAACCAACCGTCGGTTATACAGCTACAGTGGCATTTCGCGATGGACTTGTCACAGTTTATAATATAAAGGCTTAGACAAACGACAACGGTCTTTGTGTCTACTGTACACGAAATACTTTAATGCTTACAGAATTTTATTTTACTCTACTTTGATTTATACTGTACAAAATATAGATAATTTTAGGAATATCCTTGGACAATTCATACAGCGTCATCTATTCTCAAGCTAATCAGAGTGTTAGGGGTACTAGATAACTGACATAAAACTAAGATATTTTTTTGTTATAAATACATAAGTAATAAACATAGAGCACAGCCCAAAGCGGTACAAATCGTGAACGCAAATATCTCGGTCTAAGATCTCGGGTTCAATTCCTTGAACGATGCAAGGATTTGAACCCGAGACCTTCGGAAGTAAAGCGGTGTACAAAACCGCTAGACCAACGAGACCAGTTCTTTCATCATTCATATTTGACGTGATTCTGATGGTTCTTTAATTTATGAAAATCTGTTCAAAAGTTCAAAGTTTAGGTCTGTAAATTAGCTGCGCTCGGGACCTTAGACGCACAATAGCAATATTTTGATTTTTTTGTCGGCGGTGATTTCAAAATTTTAAGGGATATCTATAAGTAACTGAGATAGTTAGAGATGAAAAACGACTAGGCCATTTATATGACACGGTATTCCTTATTGTGGAAAAGTTGCAGGATGGAAATAAATGTACGCAATCGGGAACTCGCAAACTTTTGATTGGTATACTTAATCATTTATGTTTTCACTCAAACCAGAATAAAAGTATGTGTGTTTAAGGAAGCATTGTAATTTAGTTTTTATAGTGTCTACCTATGATATATTTTGGTATAATACCGGGCAATTGCATTCTGATAAATTGATGTGTCCGTAGGGTCAAGTCAAGTAGACATATAAATTTTATTTATTTATTTCAGGCAACTTAATATTATTATATAACAATATTGGCTCATATTGTATATACCTTAAGGACTAACATAATTATATAAAACATAAGAAATCATAAAATTCAATAATAATGTAGACTTTGTCGTCACCATAATCACTGCGGCAATCTACCATGGTAGCGGCGGTACAAAACTCCCATCGTCCATTTATCCAGTAGTCTTCCTTCACGAAGGTGAACAGAATGTTGGTGGGGACCCGGGCCACAAACGCTTCGAAACCTGCGTTGTGAATCGATTCCAGCTGTGTGACCCTCAATATCAGGCTACCTTTGGTCCGGAAACTATATACGACAATGTCCTGCTCCTCTATAGTCGAAAATATCAACACTAACGTTAGTGCTGTTTTTCATGTATGTAGATAGATTGGTAATATATCTTTTATTATAACAACTGGAATACATTTTACATTTAAAGCAAAAATAAACTAGAATATTTTAATATCCATACTAATATTATTAATGCAAAATTGTGTCTTACCTAATTACTACTAAAGGACTGAACAGTGGGCTAATTATGTATGTAACATCGATCGCAACGATTTTCGTATGTAACGTAGTGAAAATGACGTCATCTGTCAGAAATGAGATTATATTGTCGCTGTTACCTAGCATTGCAACATAAACGTATCTTTACATATCGATAAAAAAAATTTATTGAATTGTAATGGCAACCAAGTTACTGAATCGACAAAATAGCGATTACGTAACATTTTACGGAATCGCTATTTTGCAGGACAGTGAAATTTTATATATAGAAAATATATATTAAGAAGAGAAAATATTACCTATCTTTTATTTCATACAATAATTTAGAAGGGGGTGAAATGGGGGATATAAGTTGTTGCAGACGAATTTGCACTTAAACGTTAGTATGACATATACGACATTTTATAGTGTATCTCGAAACTTTGGACGAATATCATTCTTATATTCATGGCTTGACAATATAATTTCTATTAATTTAGGAATATTTATATAAAGTTATATATGACCATGTATATTCTTATTCCATAACAGTCTAATAACATACAAAGACTTCCAAACTTTTGCATAATAACATTTATGGAAGAGTTTTCTTCACTTCTGCCAATTAAATTATAATTCTGTATGAATTTCCTTATACAAATATAGAACATGTCTTCTGGAAACATATTTCATAATAATCACAATTTTCATATGTCGATAGAATATGCTTTATTTATGTATATTATACAATGATTGCAATTAGGTACTTCTTCTAAAACGAATGCAGACTGTGAAAAATCGGCCGTATCAAGCTATGTCTACGCCTTTGACAATCCCACCAACGATAACAGTCGTGAAGGTAAATTATTGTTAATTAGAAGGTTGGTTTTATTTTACACTGTATCTTGAGCAATATAAAGTATGTATTACATTGTTTCCTAAATAAATAGGTAAGTTTTGTTCCACTGCTTACAAAAGTAAATCACGTTGTTTTAGAAACTCCTTTCTTAAGATGACTCCTAAAGATCTCTGTTAATGATAATCACGGGGGTGATAAAAGAATCCTAACCCTTTTCCAGGCTGTTTTAATGATATAAAGGAAACAAAGTTTAGCATTAAGGGTTGAATTGTAAATATATCTGATGAAGTAAATGGTAAGAAATGTTCAGAGAATCTTAACTATCGTACCTAACAGTAAAAAAAATCGTGATAATTAAAATGAATATAGCAAATCAGAACTGGTACAGATAATTAAAATCAATGAAGACGGCCTCGGTGGTTTAGTGGTTTAGCACACCGCCTCACTTCCAATGGTCGCGGATTCGATTCCGCGCACGGTTTTCTATGTATAATGTGTTTATTTATAAAAAAAAATATCTATGCATTTGTGTCAGTTATCTAGTACCCATTATACAAGCTCTAGCCAGCTTAACTTGGGTCTAGACGGCGCTGTGTGTGTCCTGAGATTATTATTATTATTCATTAGACATTGAATTAAAATAGACAAATAAAAAACTTCTTCTATTTTAATATTGACATAATAAACGAATAAAACTGTCAAATTTGTCAGTCTGTCAATAGCAATGGATCACACCAAAATGTCTTAAAAATATTTTAGAAATTAAATCAAACACAACCAATACAATGCTACAATAAATACAATAATATCACGGGATGACATCGCAAACAGTCCAGATTCACTCCAGTTAAAGTTCCGTTGACCTCCCAACTTCATATAGCTGAAATTGAAATAATTTTTTGTGTGAAAGAAATCAGTACGAGCCTAATGGGTATTATTAATACTAAAGAATGTAGACGGAAAGTTGATGAAGCAACAAGTAATACTGGGTTAGTGGACTCATAATTATAAATATACCTGGACAATTTACACGACGCCATCTAGTCCGAAGTTAAGCAGACCTTGCGTTATAGATACTAGAATTACTTGAATTGTTTTTGTAAATTTATTCATATTTACCAAATAAATATGATAGAATAGGATAAAAATTTTTTATCCTATTCTATCATATTTCAAACTTAATTTAAGCATCTTTGAATAGTTTCAACATTTTTATTGATCTACCACATAAAGCTGACTTATCACAAGAAGAATGAGCAAGAAATTTGTGTGTTGCTCTTTTAAATAATCATAGTAAATTTACATTTTTCAAGTCAAAACATGTGAATACAAACTACCCACTAGCACTAATTTATTAGGGTCAAATATAAATACACAATAAGATAAAATCAGTCGTATTGATTAGAGCAGACCAGTCCCTACAAGCTGCTCTTGTTCACGAGTATGACGTATGAGCCAGCCATCACTGTGCTCGACCATAGAATAAATAGAATAAACGAAACAACAACCTTAATTAAGATTGTGTTACTTTTATATTGTTTTCAGTTTATCCAACTTGAGATACGTTACCATAGATAAAAGTAAATGGAAAGTATTCCGGAGGAAACAGTAAGTAGACAATGATTTCGTTTAACTTAAGTAAATATCAACTTAGCTGAATTATATTGTTCTGTACTTTGACACGTGACACCATTGTCAAAGCCCGGCAAGATGTTCTACATGATCTACGCATTGCTGGGGACTCCCCTGACCCTGTCTGCGCTGGTGGAGCGCCTGCTGCTGCCGGCCACAACCCTGCTGAGGGCCTTAAATGCATCCCTCGGGCATCTGTACCGACTGTTTTCAAAGCAACCAAGCATGCACGCAGTTATAGCGTGCATGCTACTGAACGGATTTTAATTAAACTTAAAATAGATTATACATCAGAATAACATATACATAGTTATCTACTTTGTACAGGTTTGGTGTAGAACAATATTTGATCTAATTTATTTGTGTTTTTATATTTAACAGGGTAGTTCCAGCTTATCCGGCATCATTCAGACCCCTCAGAGGCTGTCCATGCGGAAGCGATAGGCCTTGCAAGCAGAGGATCACACCTAAAGGAATTACAATACATTATCCTCAAAAGTGAGTTTGCTTGTTTCTATAGCGCGAGGGAAAGAAAAAATCATCAAATACATACAATTAAGTACATAGAAAATACCCAGACATATATATTACAAAACAATTGGATACAAATTTTCGCACCGGGAGAGGAATCCCATAACCATGGGAAGTAAAGCGGTGTACTAAACCACTAGACAGCCGAGGCCGTTAATTTGTCATTAAATTGTTGTCATCCAGGATTCATTGACACGAGATAGAATAATAAAACTATTGAGACGCATATATAAATAGGTCTCGTATATAATTTATAATCAAAATTAAATAATGAAATTTCGAGTCAATAATGCACATCCGGGAAAATCGCGATCAAAATAATATGGTACAAAATATGTTCAGCTTTATTTATTTATTTTTTTTTTTTATTTATTTATTTAGGATCAAAAACAGGTTCACAATTAGGAAACTTATAATTATTTTACATTTTCTACGTACTATGTTATTGTAAACCCAACATGCATGATCACAAATTATATTAAAGTATTAAGATATGTGGGTCGCATACATACTAAACGCATACAAGCTAATATATTTTCTACTTATAATTATGATGGTGTATATGTATGTAGTTGGTTGAATGAGGAAAAGAGATATGAGATATGTTTGTTACAGGTTTTACTAAAGATACGAGGAAAAATCATTTGTATGTGCGAATGTGTGTTTGTGCATATGAGTGTAGTGTGTGTGTGTGTGTGTGTTGGTGTGCGCGTATGTATGTGTGTACATCAGTATGACTAGGTAAAAAGAAGGAATTATATTATGATTCTATGTGCTTATAGTATATGTAAGGCTTTAAGTTTATTAATTACTGACCTTCTAAAACCTATATATGACAATTTAAATATATCCAATTCATTAAAGTTATCATTGTACGACTGCAAAATGCGAGTAATAGGTTTACGAATACCTGCATTAGTTCGACTTGCTTTAATCGAAAAGAGTCTATGGGTGCGTGATGTTCTCATTTCAACTCTGGGGGGTATGTTGTAATATATACTTGATGACATATCTAAACAATCATATTTGTTATTACAGATATCATAAAGCAGCATACATTGTAATTGAGAGCGTCTTAAGCTCAAGCTCAGCAATTTATAATGTTTAAGTAGATCATAATAGGGTAGTCTTCTACGAAAAAACATAAAATGTATACGTCTGAGGAACTTCTTTTGAACCATTTCTAGTTTATTCTTATATTTATCATAATGGGGATTCCATACGGTCACTGCGTATTCTAACTGTGATCTTACTAATCACTGAAACAGATGAATATATGTAGAACAGTTTCTAAACCTAGTACCTGATCTCATTATGAACCCGTACATTTTATAAGCCTTATTAATTATACTCTCTATGTGTAAATCAAGATGTAGTTTAGAATCAAGAATTATTCCAAGATCCTTGATGTCGTTAACTTTAGTTAGTATTGTATTTCTTGCAGTAATTTGTAAAACGATTTAAATCTTCTTGAAATTTAACATGGTCTTCTATATTGTTAATAGTATAATATAATTTTAAGTCATCAGCATATAAAAGAAAATTGCAATGCTTAAAACATGTATTAATGTCATTTATAAATAGTATGAATAAAAGGGGGCCAAGAATGGATCATTGAGGAACTCCTGAGGTAACTTGTATACAATGAGATTCAAATCCCTTAATAACAACTTTTTGAGTTCTATTAGAAATATAAGACTTGAACCATCTCCAGAGGTTTCCTCTTATACCACAAAAGGCTATTTTTTCTAGTAACATTCTGTGATCGATTCTGTCAAACGCCTTGCGAAAATCAGTAAATATGCAGTCTATTTGTTTGTTATTGTCCAGCCCATCAAATAAATAGTTAGTATAAACAAGTAAATTTGTTACTGTGGATCGACGTTGAACAAAACCATGCTGTTGGTTCAAAATTACATTATGGAGACTGGGATATATTGCTTTATGAACTAGTCTTTCGTAAAGTTTTGACAGAGTGGGAAGAATGGAAATCGGCCTATAGTTTTCTACATTCTGTTTTGAGCCACCTTTGTGTACAGGTACAATTCTAGCTGTTTTCCATATCCTAGGGAACATTCCATCACGCAAACATTTATTAAATATGTGGCACACAGGTTTACAAATAACAGCGGCAGTATTTTTTAAGAAATATCCATGAACACTATCTATTCCAACACCTTTACTAATATCTATACTCTTTAAACCTACTAGTACATCCTTCTCTAAGATTTCAAGATTATTGATAACATTATCAGGTGTTAAACGTTCATCAATGGTGATGTCATCCATATCAAAATTTTCAGAAACAGCAGACTTTTCAAATGTAGATTGAAAAAATGTGGAGAAAGAAGCACATACCTCTTCAGGTGTGTTTGCCTCTGAGTTATTATATAAGACCGAATTGGGTATGTCTGAATTATTATCACGATTGCGAATATAGGTCCAAAGATATTTACTATTTACTTTCATATTGTCTTCAATATGTTTCATATATTTATTATAACATTGTTCTGACTTCATTTTGAATTGTCTCCTGTATATTGAAAAAACATTATGATTAGATTCCGAGTTGAATTTTTTCATGGTTATCCAAGCACGATTTTTTTTTTCATATTATCTAATAAGTTCAGATGTAAACCAGACAGGGTATTTAAAGGGTTTAACAGTTTTTGTGGGTACATGTTTCTTAATTATGTCGTAAATTTTTTCGTAAAACATACTGACAGCATCTTCAGTATTTAATTTTGATAAGAGGTTATTCCATTCAATATTTAAGATTTCATTACTTATTGTCACATAATTTGCTCTCTCATAACAATATTTATCATATGACTTTGTTGGGAACGGCTTAAAATTATTAGTAGTTGGAATTCTCACCTGTAATGGAGGGTGATAATCGTCTGGTTGAACCAGAGGTAAGGATATAAGTGATATGTCAATATTTAATTTATTACTAATACATAAGTCAAGAATATTATTAGATTTATTTGTGTATGAATTATGCTGATAACAGTTCAACATTGACAAGAAGTTGGATAAAACTATATGCGATTGATTCATGTCATCAATTATTGGTTGCTGAATGCGGTTTTGTTAAATTTAATAACCATTAAAATTTAATTTAATAATTTGAGCCTAACAAATTAATATTATTTGGTAGTTTATAATCCCATATATTTTAACTTAAAAATGTAAAGTTACAACATTTGTTTAGAACAGCAACATGCAACTTTCTTGTTCTTTATACTTGTGCTGAGACAGATATCAAAATTGTTGTAACTGGCTAACGAAGAAATGTGTTTTATATTCTAAATTTATAGTTTCTTTAATATTAATATTAATAATAATAATAACTCTTTATTGCGCATACATAAACATAAGCATACATAACATATTACACTCTTGTTTATTACTTCACTTCAATTCTATTGTCAATACCATCCAAATAAATAGATTTTTCTCCGTATGCCTAGTCTTTATTTCTTTTACCTATATACAAACATAATAAAATTACAACAAAAATTACTGGTAGATTAAAAAAATAAGAATGACAATTCAAAAGTGGTTAAATATAAGTTTATTTGAATAAAGAGGTTTGTAATCTAGTTATTGTCTTGTTGTACAATTTAATTAGTAGCTTTTAATAATAGAGATAGACCATAAGAAGTTGTATACGTTGGTACCGCATTCTCACCTATTTCGCATTCTAAGATGTTTAGTTGTGGGATGAGAAAAGGTAGTGAAATTATAAGATAAGAGACATGGCAGGAATAGAAATCCCTGAGAGGTATCATTGTCATAGTATATGATAACGCAGTGTTGTTCATTTCTATAAGCGACGGTTATCACGATAAAGTTTAGTGGTCCGTCAGCTTACGTAGTATGTACAAAAAAAAAACTCATTTAGGAACATTTTCGTGTCTATTGTTTATAAAGGAAGTGACGTCATTAAAACTACATGCAGTTTTCACATTTAGCATGTCGCAAATATTGGTTCCATGCTATGTTAAAATGTTTACGTGTCACCGTTCAATATGTCACTACTTCCTTTCAACCCCTAGGATGTTATAGTGGACAGCTCGGGAAATGAAACTCAAATATCTTGTACAAGAAATTTTAAAATAAACTAGTGCGGTCTAGCGCATAGTATTGATAACCAAAAATCTTTTTTTATAAATGGACAATATGAGAGAGATCTTTTTATGTTGTTCATTTTTTTATTTTTACTGTCCTTATTGGGAAGGCAAAGAGTCTAGCCCATGCAGCTGTTGTTTTCCGTATAATTTTTGTATTTTAATTCTTTTTACTTTCTTACTTTTAGTAAGTTTTATTTAGTGTATGTATGGAAAAGGTTATGCCTCTGCTTCGCACAAATGTATTTATTGTAAGAATCTATTTTTTCTTAATAAAATGCATATGGTTCTATTGAATAGCTTTCTTTCTCTTGACTACCAACTTTAGACCACAGATAAAGAGAAAATCCTCTTTAAAATATATTATAAAATTGATAATAATACTGGTAAAACGACGTACACAAATACATAGAATACACACATAAAACTATTAAGTTATTATAAAAACTTTGACTTTTTAAATAACAAATATTGGTTTTTTTTTTTGTTTTGCAATTACAGAAAGAAAAAATTCATCGCATTTGGTGCAAGATTGAAATCTTCCAGAATAGAAAAAGGCTATTCAAATAAGTAAGTAAAGCCCATCAATTTTCTCTTATGTAATGGGAATAGGAATTATGCTAAAAACTGATGAGCCCACCTGATGGAAAGTATGAACTATATATACGTTACGTCCTCGCGTAATGCTACTACAAGCATTGTGCTCTGCAATATCAGAACCATAACCTATAAAGTCTGTGAAGCAGGCTCTAGGATTCGCCTATAAGTTTGCTTTGCAGACTTTGTAGGAACAACTGAAGTAAGAAGACGCCGAAGGCTCTACATAAAATCAACTTCTGATATTACTATAATATTTAATTAGATCTTCGATTAGATTGTTTTCTTCGCCAAGAGATCTTAAAAATCTAAGGAGGTAAGAAAGAAAACCTACTAGATGGCTTAGCAAGGATATATTTCTACCATTTTTATTTATTTTTAGTAAGAAAATAATTACTATTATTATATATCTACACAAGCTATGCCCGCGGTTACACCCGTATTAAATTTGTAGCCTACATGTTATTTTGATAGAGCTATATTACTATAAAGTTTCATCAAAATCCGTTAAGTAGTTTTTGCATAAAAGAGTAACAAACATACATCCATCCACACTCACAAATTTCCGCGTTTATAATATGAGTAAGATATTCTGAATTCTGTATTTATCGATATGCTTTTTGTTACGCAATTTAATTCATATATCAATATGCACAGAGCCACAGTGCAGTTAGTTCTCTGTTATGTATACAGAGCAATTAATGCCACAGTTTATAACATACATATTATATCAGATTTGAAACTACCCTGATGAAAATTGAACTAAAATTGAATCAATAAAATTAATTATTGTCCTAGTGAGGCAAGCCTGGACATATTCGCCATTTCATTATATACATCTCACATATTCATTTCTGATTTTGTTATATATTAATTTCGAACCCATTAAAGTTACTTTTATTTCAAGTACTTTTATTTCAACATGAGGCATATGTCCAGTAGTGGACTTTAGTGTACTTGATAATGATGGTGGAATGCAATTACTGACTAATTACGGAAAAATTAAGCCTCTCTGTCCCAAAATGCTATGTATATGCAGCATTTCTTGATGATCAGTTAAGCAGTTAAAATGTGAATAAATAGCAAACTCACTTTCCCATTTACAATATTAGATAGGTAGGGGAGAGGGCATCTTTAGTATCGGGGAATAGTGTCGTCCTTGCTAACAATGTACCATGTAGAATCGACTACGAGTTCGAGTTTCATTTTTATATCATCGTTGTTATTTCCATGAATTCGTTACGTGGGCTAACTAACCTGACTTCTCTCCCTACCATCTTTACTAGTGTCCCGCCAGCGTACACTGTTAGTGCAAATAGGTGCACTCTATTATCATCAATAAAAATATTTGTTACGTTTAATTATCATAATAAGTAAATGTATTTGAAACCATATATTAGTTGCTTCCATTTCTCTGTACATATCATATTAATCCAATATGAGAGACTGCAAATTGGAGGATTAAGTTTTATTATTGTCTATTATTCAATCGATGGTGTCAGAGAATTTAGATTTTATGATAATGCACATAAATTTACATAACGATATAAATTCTATTAAGCGGATGGTTTTTATTAAAAATAAGAAACTTAATAGGGCTATTTCAAAATGGGTAAATTAGAGGATAAAGAAAATAGAGATTGTGATAGAGATAATATAAAATTAGAGGAGTCGACTAATTATAATTTTATATTATTATGAAAAAGTTGGTACTTGAAGATTTTTGGCTAAAAACTAAGTGATTTTTATATCTATGTCTTAAAATTACCATACCTAATACCTATACCTATCTAATGATAATATTTGTATTATTATAATTATTAAAGGATTAATTCTACACTGTTCTGCCATTGTTTTGCACTGTTAGAGAAGGAGAAAAAACAATTACGAATGAGGTCTATTAACCTCATTGCTAGCAATTTACCCTATCATGTGGATCTCACGCGATCGCGCCAATACTGATTTAATTTCACCTAGGTAGACTATACGAAGCAGAACTTAGTCTTCTGGAATGCCAACTCATGAGTTTCAAATAGCATAACCAAGGTATAGCAAAGCGCTGATTTTCATTAGGACCTATCAAGTGCATAAAAAAATATTTAAGTATTTCTATAATTTCTTTATTACTCATAACAGAAGATCTTCTTCTTTCTAATATATAAATTTCTTGTGTGTTAGTTGCCTTACTCCTTCAAAATGGCTTGATCGATTTTGATGAAATTTTAAATAGTTATTCGATAGGTCTGAGAACCTTAAGGGTGGCCCTTCCACTTTTTTATTTTATTTTATGCTGTCTGTACGTATCTAAAATACATATATACTCCTTAATTTTCAGCCTTCTATCATCAACCCGTATTTTTATAGCGATATTAGTACTTTTGTTTATATGGCAAAACAACATTTAGCTGTAACTAACTGACCCAGTTAGTTACTAGCTACTCGGAATTTGCTCAGGGTTAACCACAAAATCACCATGGTATCGATGTAATTATAAGATATAATGACTTATTTATGTTTCAGTTAACATTTGTTTCGTCTAACCCGTCTCGAAATAACTTTTTAATTTACGTTATTCCGTAAAATAATTCATTCCAATTGTTTCAGCCAGCGACTACCGACCAAAGTGAAAGTGATAAGACAAAGGAAATTCCCAACTTGGAGATTAGACAGGATTACTTATACTTCACCGTATTTCAGGTAACGCTGAATAGGACTGTCGGCTGTGCAAAGTAATGGAAAAAACATTTTAACACAATTGTTTATGTGAATGTAACGTCCTCGGTGGTCTAGCGGTTTATCATACTGCCTTATCTGATGGTCGCTGGTTCGATTCCTCGCACGGCATAAACATTTGTATTCATGAATATGATTGTTTGTGTCGGTCAGCGTGTTTTCTATGTATTTATCTTTTATCTTATGTTATCTTTTATGTGTATAATATGTTATTTAGGCAAAAAAAATCTATGTATTTGTATCTATTATCTAGTACCCATAACACAAGCTTTAGCTAGCTTAACTTGGATCTAGATGGTGCTGTGTGAATTATCCTGAGATTATTATTATTATGTACATTTCGTAGTTAAATCATAGTGTTCGTCATATATCGCTGTGATAAATTCTAGATTTCATATATATGCAACAGTGATTTATGACTCTAGTTACTAATATATATAACTAGCTGTACCCATAGCTTCACTCGCATGAAATTTATAGCCTATCTGTTATTCAGATGTATAAGTTATTATACTGTAAAGTTTCATTAAAATCCGTTAGTAGTTTATGCATGAAAGAGTAACAAACATCCATCCATCCAGCTATCCATCCATTCTCACAAACTTTCACGTTTATAATATTAGTAAGATAAGATTCTCGTGTCACAGTGTTTGTAACATTATTCCTCCGAAGACCGTAACGTATTGACTGATTGTTAATTGTTTTATATACATTATTTAAATTATTAACCGGGTCTTAAGCTGACTGACCTGGTCAGCTCGTGACCACGGCTAGTGCAACCTAGTCGAAACGTCGAGAGAGGTAACCCTTTATTTGCCATAAAATTATTCGTGTTAAGACCCAGTTAATAATTTAAATAATGTTTTGACTGATTCTTATGAAATTTTGTGTGTATATTCAGTAGATCTGAAAATACGTAAAATATTTTTCATATATATAAGTGGTAAGCGTGACCTACCTTAATTTCTCTTTATATATTTTATTAAAACTTCTGTATATTTTTTTACTATTTCATATTAAAAATATATGCAACCATAATTTGTCAACGAATTATGAATCAAAGAAGCTTCTCTGGATAATAAGTAAGAATAAGATTATACATCTCATTCCCATGAATATACCAAATTATACGAGGAATTAATTTTAAATCAATTTACGAAAATTATGCAGTAAAAAAGAAAAATATGTCATTATTGTGATATGTTAGACCTACAATGAGAGTCACGGGCAGTTTTTGTATTCTTTTTATCCATATTCAAAATATGATGTTCTTTATATAATTTTTATTTTATAATACTTCTGTCACTGCGCTCTTCAATAAAAGACGTCTGTTTAAACATCTACCTATTTTCATTATTTTTAATTGATACTGCATAATTTTCGTAAATTATGTGTAATATATATTTTCTTCCTTCGCAGACCCCACATGGTAAGGTCTGGACCCTACTGAAATAGAAGTTCAAGTGATATAAAAATAAAGTTTGTTGTTAAAATAAAGGTTATGTTCAATACAAGTTAATAAATAAGTCCAATATATTACATGTTTAATTCTTAGTACCTAGTCAAACTATCCCAGTGACGTTATTTATATCGATAAAACTTAAAAAGTAGTTTGATATTCGATAATATACCTTGTTTTTATAATTAGAACGTCGCAATTATACGTACGTTATAGTTAGTTCGCCATAGTAATGCATTGTTAAAAAATCAACAATAAGTACGAAGAATATTAATATAGCAGAATATAAAAGTATTTTTGTACGTTTACAAGAAACTACCACTACCATTTGTATAATAAATAAATTAGTCGATGTAGTCGCAAATTCAAAATACCAAAATACAGTTTACAAAACATACTGCTAGGCGGTAAAAATAGATCAGATAGAGGTATTTACATAGACGATTTTGTACATACAGTTTCCAGTTAAAGTAAAACAAAAACGATAATTTAAAAATTATATGTATTTTTATAATCGTGTTCAACATAACAGTTTTGAAGAGAATAAGAACTGAGATTCCTGCCAGTTCTTCGTAGGTCGAAAGTACTCCGAACTGATGGTAGATTTGACATATCTTAAGATGTATGTCATAAACAGATATACATGAATAAAGATATTTTGATTTGATTTGAATGGTTTGAAAGTATTGTGAACAGCTGAACTGTAAATTAAGCAATCGGATGCAATGTTTGTTATTATGTAGAAATAGCATTAGCCTACAGATCATTTAATAGGATCGAAAGCAAATTGTCGGTCTCTCTCAGTTTAATATCTTTAGATATAGACCTGTTACAATTATTATATTAGTTTATGTCAATGAAGCCCTATGCGGCTTACTGTTTTATTACATTCACTATAATAAAACTTTACTAACGCTCATATGCCTGGGATATTATAAGCCCCAACCCTCGTAAAAGCTGCAGGCAATATTTTACCCCTTTCATGTCAAATGTCAAAATACGAATGCACGTAAATATTTTATGGTGTGTACTTTAGTGTGGTAATTTTTTGGACATGTTGAGCGAATAGCCTGTACGTTTTTTATTGCGATATGCCTAATATTTTGAACTAAGTTACGCCGTACTACCAAGGTTTTTCAGTACAACGGAATTGCAATTTTAAATCTTACGCATTGGATTCTGTTTACTTTGATACCAAATTTCAATAGATGTGGGTATAACCATTGTAGTATGGTAAGTTATATAATATACTAGTGGTGCTCGTGACTTCGTACGCTTGTACAGTTGTAGATCGCCAGCTATTGAAGGTGAAACAATAACAAAAATAAATCAACTATACGATGCAATTATTATTTTATTAATGAAATATTTATTAAAATTGTAGGTGGTAGGGAGATATATCCTTTTTGGAGGTATTTATCCCATTTTTAGTTGTATACTACCTACATTTAATAAAATATTCTGCAAGAATTTCATTCTTATATTACCTATATTTAACAAATCCTATCCTTTCTGTAATAATTTCGTCGTAATTCTACCATCTATTTTCACGTGAAAACTTAACACACAAACGGACAATTTTCGTCTCGTTTCCTTGTTATTATATGTATATATTACTTTATAATGAATAAGAAGTAGACATTGGTAATTAGTGAAGGATACAATGGCGTCTATTTACATTATATTTTAGAATATTCTTACATAATTTATATTCTCAGTAATTTTGTTGTTACATTGTAAAGTATTCTTAATGGAACATAGTAGCTCATTACACAAGTACAGATTTTTCTTCTATAGGTACTTGGGTCAGCCTAATTTCTGATTCCTTATTATTTATATAAATATTAAACTCGGCTACATGTACGATTTTTTTTAAGTGGATGAAATGCATTATTTTGACCTCCTATTATTATGTTTAACCGCTTTACTTCCGATGGTCGCGGTTTCGATTCCTCGCTACTGTGCAAACATTTGTATTCATGAGTATGATTGCATATATCGATTTGGGTGTTTTTATGTACATTATATATATTTTTACAAAAAAAGAAAAATATGTAAGTATTTATATCAGCTGCTTACCATGGGACTAGAAGGTGCTGTTTTAATTGTCGAGGGTTATTTATTATAATTATTCAATATTCAATATAGAGGTCTAACCACTACTACTAGAAGTGTTATGACTTTACTTATTAATGATTAATTTCCCGTTATTATTAAATACTAAAATTACTTCTTAATGCAATAACTAGAAAATAGTTCAACATAGATTTGGAGGACGTAAAAATATAATACTGACATGTCAACATTGTAAAGGTTGTAAATATATAAAACATAAGACCTTATATCTCCGGTGCCCTAACTTAATAACTTGAAATTTTACACTGATATTTCACTTATGTTGAAGGCTTCTACTAAGAAAGGATTTTTGAGAATTCTCATGGGAATAGAAGAAAATGGGTCAGCGGAAACATAGCTGTTGAGTAGCTATTAAATTATGAATGTATCTTAATTTGCTCTGAGAATTAAACCAACGTATACACGTTATATAATCAAGATATTTATAATAATAATATTATTAAAGAGTACGGCTCGACTTATGACTAATGACATGAATATAGTTAGTTACCTATTACGCTTTTTATAGTAAACATAATTTCTTTCTTTTTTTATGTGACAACCCTATAATTTAAAAACAGCAGGCAGGCATATTACAAGAAAAAGTCACATTACGAGAAAAAGCAGACCTTTAAACCGCGAGTAAGGACCAAACATAAGTATTTCAACCGGTTATAACATGGCAAAACAAATTATTCGCCCGCTTTTCGAGCGGGTAACGGGGAAATACAAATAGGAAAGTTTACTCTTAATTTTTTTCGCACTTCACTTGCAACCCGCAAATATTTTCAAAGGAGAATTTGCAACGAGGCGGAGTAACGATGTACCGTACCCTTGTCAGCTTAATGAGCTACCCATTATCCTCAACGGATTTGCAAAACTACTGTATTTAGATATTTTTATCTAACCAAATAATGAACAAGGATTACTGTGGGCAGTTAATAATAATATACCTGTTCTGATGAAGAAATACAAACTTAACATAACATTAGAGAAAGATTTGGTTACTTTTTTTTAATTTAAAGTAAATTAAAAGTAAAATTGGAAATAGGAATGTTTCTATTTTTTATTGTCTGTACTAATATTGTAATAATGATGTATCGCCCCTTCTTCGAGTACATTAGAGGTTCCTTCAGAGTGGCCCCTATTGTGGAAAAAGTAAGAGAAAGTCGCTTACGTTAGTACGGCCATATTCAAAGACCCGAAGATGACTACATGGTTAAAAAAGTGCTCAAGATACCAAACCCGACCAGAGGCAGTGACAGGCCACGCGCTACTTGGTGGAATAATATTAAGAAGCAGATGGACCAGAACAACCTTAATATACAGACAACCCAGAACAGAGTTCCCTGACGCAGATGTTCAGGGAGACCCGACCCCAGATAAACTGGGAACATGGGTTGGACAAAGATGTATCGCCCCTTCCATGGCAGATTACCGTTGACAGAGCTATGATCACGAGATCAATTTCAATATATCAATATATTAGTTTTATAATATTCATTAACATGTATGTTAGTCTATACGGTATTTATAATATACCCATATTATAAATACCGTGGTAAAATAAATAAAAATAAAATAAAAAATAATGATATATTTTTTTAGAATTGTAACGACAATCAAGCAGAACTCCTGATGACCAGGTCGTACCACTCACACATTTCCGTTCTGCAGGACACAAAGCTGTAATTTCACGATCTAATCCTTACCTAAATCAGAACACAACTTACAAAGCAAGCTGCTTTGCGGCTGAAATATGTGAGACAGAGATACATATGTAAACGATTTTGTATAAAGTTTGTATGTTTTTATAGTATAAGGGACAAACTAGCTCGGTAAATGATTACTGACATCCATGAACACCCGCAGCAACGGGAGAATTGCAAGTACTTTGTCGGTCTTTTAAGAAGGAATAAGCTCTTTTCTTGAAGGTTTCAATATCGTACTGGATTAGAAATGCCATTTCTGAAAGGTGATTCCACAATGTGGTTGTGTATGGCAGAAAAACGCATAGTGGAGGACCGCTCAGAATTAGATGGTATTTTAGTTTCTGGCGGATAGTGCGTTGTTGAAATTCAGCAGCTAGTATTAAGCGTAATAATTCTTCATGATATTTGCGGTGAAAATAAAATATATGATGTGCTTATAATGGATATAAAATAGAAATTATAGAAATTATAGAAATTATAATGGTCATAACTACACGACCGATTAAAAAAATATTTTTCGTATACAAACTTACATTACACGCAAGTATCATTTCAACGCGGAAGGTGTCCACTGCTGAACAAAGGCCTATCCCAAAAATCTTCACAACGCGACGATCTGTCTTGCGATGCTCCCATCTAACGCTTTCCAGCGATCATGACCAGTTCGGCCTTCCCATAATCTTAATTTTAATTTTATATTATAAACGTAAGTTTGTAAGTATGGATATATGTTACTCTTTCACGCAAAAACTACTGAACGAATTTTGATGAAACTTTACAGTAATGTTGCTTATATGTCAGAATAACACATAGGCTATATTTTATATTAAAATTTAGGTATTGAAATTTATCGCAGATGAGACTGCAGGCACAGTTAGTATAATAATAGAATAGGCGAGAAAAATTGACAGTATTTATTTTCTTTACTGTCCATAAATCATAGATTTTATCCGTATTAGCACATGTGACGTCATGCGCTTGTAATGTCGACACTTTTAAATTTTTTTATGTGTCTACTCATTTCTGCCTAAAATATGAATAGCGGAAAAAACTGGGCGGCCCCGAACGTTTGCGAAGCAATTTGCCCATATAATCTCACAAAAAGATAAAACTGTGCAATATGTTGGCGTAGTACACGACCGTCCACGGCCGTGACAAGGGTAACGGTCGATGGTGGATCTAATAGAAAATGATTTATATCTAAGAGCTTTGGGTCTTGGATTTGTACTGATATCC